GTCATCGATCGTATGTCAATTAATCGCAATATAATCTTAATTTCATCAGGCACACTTTTAATCGAGCCCAAGCCTCAAGAACCCACCAAGCACCAGTATGACTGGGATGCTGCAACAGCTGCCAACTTCCTGAGGAAATACGGACTTATTAACGAATTTAAACTCAACATTGAGTGTAACCACGCCACGCTTTCCGGGCACACCTGTCATCACGAGCTTGAAACTGCAAGAATTAATGGTTTACTTGGAAACATTGATGCAAACACTGGCGATGCTCAGACTGGTAATTCATTTTATTTCAGCTCTCTTGATTATTAACGTCTCCTATTCAGATTACCAATTGAACAAAGCTTTCTCCTCGTCTCAACAGGATGGGATACAGATCAGTTTCTTACAGATGTTGGAGAAGCAACCATGGTTATGATGAGTGTCATCAGAAATGTATGTAAAAAGAAAAGCTCACTAATTTCGGTGGAAAAATCATTGTATTATGCATATGTTCATGTCTTGTCTTGTTATGAAACAGGGTGGGATTGCTCCAGGAGGCTTCAACTTCGACGCCAAATTGTAAGAGTGTTTCTTGACTCTCCTAATGTTTTGCGGTTTCATACGAACAACTTGAACCAAAAAAGAAGCGCGTATAATAACATTTTGATTAAACAGGCGAAGAGAGAGTACAGATGTGGAAGACTTGTTCATTGCTCATATTAGTGGAATGGACACAATCGCTCGTGGAATGAGAAATGCAGTCAAAATCTTGGAGGTTAGTGAAGATTTGAATCGAATAAAAGTTGTTCTACTTAATTAAGTGAATCAAAGAGTGTGGCTTTATCTGGTTGTTTACTTGGTGGTAAAAAAGGAGGGAAGCCTAACCGAATTGGTACGGAAGAGATATTCGAGTTGGGATTCGGAGATTGGGAAGCAAATAGAAGAAGGAAAAGCAGATTTCGAGTATCTTGAGAAGAAGGCTAAAGAGTTTGGAGAACCAAAGGTTCCTTCTGCTAAACAGGTACAAAGATACTTAGTAGGAAAATATAAGTTAACTCTAATTTTGTTTCTTTTATAAGCACAAACTCATAATGGCATCTTTTGAAACAAAACCTTGCAGGAGCTCGCTGAGATGATCTTCCAGTCAGCAATGTAGAAGAAGGAGAAGGCGTTTCTTAGTCCTCTCTTATCTTTGAGAAGTTTGAAAACTAAAGATGAGAATAAATATGATTAAAAAGATGACTAGAGAGGTTGGTTTTAATTAGTTTCAGTTGATGTAATATGATTTCGCACCCTTATCACAATAAGAAGAAGAAAAAACTGTTTGGCCTTAGTTGAATTTTCAATTAAGGTTTCTGTGCCAAACATGAAAGCCTGATCATGTGTTTTTTACTTTCTTGTCGTTTTTTTTTTTTGGTCGAAAACTTTCTTGTCATTTCAATCCAACTTTTTTTTATAGTTAAAATGGAACCTTTTATAAATATGGGATCCATTCAAATGTTTCATGGATATTACTATTTTGCTTGAACTTGCAAGTTTAATTCTATCCCAAAGCCAAAGCCTAAGCCTCTATTTGAGTTTTTGTTGCTTTAATTTTATCATTAGCTTGACAATATGTTAATTGAGGTTTTGGCTTATTTAGCTCTTTGTGGTTTTATCGTATACTTCTTTAGTGAAGGTTAAACCTTTTAATTTTAATAAATTACGGTTTGACCAAAAAAAACAAATATCTAAAGGTGTGATTTGAACAAAACA